TATATTATGTGGTAAAATGCCCACAATTCAATGGCTTTAGCCTCTATTTTGGTTCCACGTGAAGATTTTCTGGTGGTGTTCATCTTCTGACAATAAACTGAATATTTTTTATAGTTATGGACTATCGTTCTGACAAAATATGAGCTTTTAATTTGTTGCCTTGGGCTCTGGGTAATTGTGATGGACATTTTTCACTATTTTTTAAACAAACTACTGATCAAGAAAATAGTCTACAGAGTAATCAGTGATGAAAATAATTATAATTTGCAGCCCTAATGAACTGTTATTGTTTTCTGTGACATTCGTTTATCATTAATTAGTCTGTGCTCATTCATTCACATTTTAGAGATGAGTTTGTGTGTGTGTATGTGTGTGTATGTGTGTGTGTGTGTGTGTGTGTGTGTGTGTGTGTACTCTATGAAGATAATAGTAGCTTTGGATACAAGTTAAAGATAGTGTGTGGTATGACAGGTGAGATTCAGGTATGTAGGTATGTTTAGACATGATATATCGTGTTGCATTCAAGTGTAAAGTGTTAAACTGTCGTGAAGTAGCGCAGGTGGACCACAGCACACGACACTGACACAGAGGTAGGTAGAGAGAAGAGGGCTGGCTGAAGCAGATGGTGGATGGCAGGTTGGGCAGGATGAGGGTGAGTGGTGTGGGCAGGCTGAAGTTGCATGAAGGTAAGCAGATGAGGCTGGGACACGGGGGAAAAGACGGTTAATCTCAGGCTTGAGATCAACATGATGACTAGCCCTCAGGAAATACAGAACCACAGAGGCTGAAAGCGAGTGACGACCATGATACCTGAGACAGCAATCTGAGAGTGGAGCCGGGGTTGATATACTGGGGAAGTGATGAGCTGTTCGCAGGCAGGTGTGTTGGAGGAGAAGGGACTCAGGAATCAGAGATGAGAGAGAGCACCAGACACAGACAGTGGAGCATAGAAAACACAGAGGTGATAAACACAAAAGAAGATACAGGGGCATGCTTGTGGGGTGAGATCATTTGATTTAAATTCATAAAAATTTGAATATTTTCCATTAGACCATGACACACAAACAAACAAATTGGAATTTGTTACCTGAACTCAACTGACTGAAATCAGGAAACGACTGAATGACTTGTGTTTGCTGATATTACCACATTATTTACTATCCGTGTTTGTGCAATTCTTCTTGGCAAATCGACTGTGAAGACACAAGACGGGGGAACAAGCTGTACACACATTTACACACCGGCAGCCCTTTTTTTTAGCAACGGCTTTATGAGGTTATTATTACAAGGCCATCTTGCTAATTTCCATAACAGAATAGAAATGTGAGAAGCAGGCAAACAGGTGGTATGATGATCTGCGTGACAGAGAGAGAATAGGAGCAGGGCAGACACTCATCACCGTGTTCCACTTCAGTCTATTCACTTTCACTGCTCAGGACTGCAGAGAATTATAATGAACTCCCGGGGTCCACACACACACACACACACACACACACACACACACACGCACACACATTTTAAAAGAAAACACATCACTACAAACAAGACCAACAGTGGTCTCTTTTGAATGTTCAGATGATTGAAATTTTGCTCTTTTAACAGCATCTGAGGGGATGAACAAAAACAAAACAAAAAAGAGAGAGGATGAAAATTATCTGGTCATCTTTTTGGCTGCATGGTGAAAACCACCTCATAGTTGTATACCTCCTTACATCCATGTCTGTCCAGACTCATATCTAGCCATGAGAGTAACGCTACAAACATGGATGTGGCTGCAAAGAAGCTTCCCTCTGGCAGCACAGGCGATCTATACAATCAGCACAGATTAGTGTAACCAATTCAGTATCTGACCAGATGTCTCCCCCTCTGCTCCTGAAGTATGGTGCTGAATAATGACCAGAAAAGCATTTCTACAGAGCATCATGATGTCACAGTGAAGTTTTGACCTTTTGGTTTTATAATGTCATCACGTCATTATTTTGTTCTGTTAAACATTTGTGTAAAATTTTGTCATAATTAGCATATGAACTTTTGAGTTATGGCCAAAAACCTTTTTTGTGAGGTCACAGTGACCTTGACCACCAAATCCTAATCAGATGTTTGTGCCAAACTTTAGGAAATGTCCTCAAAGCCTTTGTGAGATATCTCATTTGAGGTCATTGTAATGCACTGCTCATAAAAATAATACACCATAAAAAGTAATTTGTGCATGACCCACATATTTTGGAAAGCTGCAATCATGTGACCAATGCACTCACGGTAGTAAAGAAGGTGGTTGCAAGTGGTCTCAATAGGACGCGGGTTGGGGTGGTAGATGGGTCACAAAACACAGGACTTTCCCTAGGAGAATGGTGTTCGGAACCATGTGACCTTTTAGTTATTTTAAGGTACATCATCACCATGTGTTTTTTCCCTAAATCTAACCGCAGTAACTTAACTTGCCTAACCTCTGTAACTTTACGTCAATTGATCTTTCGCTAAGCCCCGCCCCTTTGTGATGGTCCGACAAGCTGTCGGAGTAAGCATGGAGCCCACACTGTAACTAACTGCACTCCCTGAAGAAATATTATCATATTTTTGGGAAAATGAAACAGTGATTCCAGAGAGAAGCAGACAGAGGGGTCTACAGTCTGTGTTTGAAGGATATATCCAGGATGTCAAACTGACTCAGCAGCAACAACAGGTTAAAAAGACAAAGATAGTTAGAAGCTAAAGTCGAACTATAGGCTACAGATCACAGTGTAAAAGTGAACCACCACATCACTGCTGATCGCCACACAAGACTATGAGTATAAAGGGAAACTTTGCTGATATTGAACCAGCTGTGTGGCATCACAGTGTGTGCAGATGAACAGTGTTTAGCTTCGCCCTCGTGCCGCTGCCAGCACCTGGACCTCTGCCGCCAGACAGGCAGGGATCTCCAGGGGAGGTCAAACGTTCATCTGCACACACTGTGATGACACACAGCTGGTTGAATATCAGCAAAGTTTCCTTGCTTCCCTTCACTGGTTCCTGTACAGCAGGGTCGGTCTTTTTTTCAGTGTTATAAAGCAAAAGCAACATGTGTATACATTCAGTACGCTATATCTTCAGTAGCTAGCTAGCTAACCCTACACTTTTCAGGGTCTGATTTTGGTTTTGGAACAGGGAAGAAACGTATATCTTTTTCCAACCTCTCCAGGTAATGAGTATCATTAATACACTACGTGCCCCAGGCACAACATTTAGCTCCAAATCCACAAAACCAGCCTGAAAATGAAGGAAATCTTAAACCATTGCATTAGAGTCAATGGAGCACAGCTGTGTTGTTGTCGAACCCTTGTCTGAGCCGGCCCGATACTACGTTATGATCAGCCAGTCTGCGTCCGGGGGCGGGACTTAGCGAGGGGTCAATTATGTAACTTCACTTTTAGGATGTAACATCATTGATGGGGCTCTGATTTGTAGGATATCATATAAGCTGATGTATGAGGATATGTTGAACATTTACAAGAATGAGACAAACGTGAGATCACTGTGACCTTTGCGCACCAAAATCGAATCAGTTAATTTTTTTGTGGACGTTTGTGCAAAATTTAAATACATTTCCTTTGGGTGTTCTTGAGGTATTACATTAATGAGATGGGACTGACAGACAACTTGAAAACATTATGCCTCCAGCCATGGCTGTTCCCAGTGCAGAGGCATAATTAGTAACGTCCAAATATGAATCTTATTCCTATGAACTAAGCCAGCAGATTTTTAAACAGTAAAAAATAATGACATTTTGAAAAATATGGGTTTTTTTTCACCAAGTGTTAGATGAGAAGCTCAACACCACTTGATATTCTCATCTAACTCTTAGCATGAATGCTAATAATCACATTTTCCAAAATGTCAAACACTTCCTTCACTAACTAAACTTCAGAGACTGTCTGTCTGTGTGGGTGCTCTCTTTCTGATCGACTGAACACATTTTATATATTTTTATCCTGTGCCACAGCACTGTGGCAGTGGCGTAAAAGTGCACCTCATTCGCTGTCAAAAATAGAAGGCAACATCTGCAAAGTGAGCCCAATTCGATGGCCCCTTTTTGGGTAGTTAGTGGATAATGGGCTTCACCTCTCAGAGAACATTTTTCCAGCAGACTGCACGCTAACCTGGCAGTGTGAAGGGGCCTTTAGCTTTGCATTTAGTTTCATGGCTCATAATATCCACCTTATGCAGCCCCCCCATCTCTCTATATCCCCATCTCTCTGTCTGTCTCTTAAATGCAGCACAGCGTCTTCCTTTACCCCATCCTGCAGTTAGAATGCACGAGCACGTCATCAGCCGCCCAGTCTTAGCTGTTGCTTTGTTCCTCACCCCCTGCCATTCAAAGCTTTGCTCGCTTCATCCCGACTGCACGCCATTCTCATGCAGAGTAAAATGTCTTCACAGCATCCCCTTGCATATAAACAGGGAAGCCATGCGTGGTACATGACCCCCATCTGACACACAAT